GTGTGTGTGTGTGTGTGTGTGTGTGTGTGTGTGTGTGTGTTACTGGAGACCAAACCAGGTTATCTATTGTACATGCCACCTCTGAGCTACACTCCCAACCCTCTTTCTACTTGTCACTTTGAGACAGAGTTGCAGAGTTGTCTGGGCTTTGCAGTCACTCTTACCCCAATCAAACACTGAGTTCCCCACATAGCTGGAATTACAGGCTTGACTAGCAGGCTTCACACCTCATCTCCCCTGCTAGAAGTTTGCTTTATAAGAGTTTCCAGTCAGCTAAAGGGGCTCTGTGAAAGGACAGTGGGAGAGGCCGGCACTCTCACTGGAGCTGGAATGTTACTCTGGTTAGCCTGAAAAGAAAACAAAAGACATAAACCAGCCTCTGAAGCAGAACTCAGTGGAGGCAAGGCTACAACTGGACACAGTCACAGGGGGACAGGCAGAGAACCTGGAACATCCTGTTCAGCTGAGTGCCCCCACTGGCGGTCTTTGGTTCTTTCACCTTGGACCACAGGACAGGAGCCGCACATAGGCAGCTTGTGGACGGAGCAAGGACAAAGGGATGGGGTCCATTCAGTCGTTCAGTGGAAGGAGAGAGAGGTCCACAGATGGATCGAGACCCTGGCTTCACCAAATGCCCCGACTCCATTCACATTGACTGGGCAACCTCGCTTGTATTATCAGATCTGCCTTAGGCATGGTGGTCAGGAGAGAGGCAGTGAGTTTGGTCTGGGAACCCCAAGTGAGGAGTGAGCTCTGAGGGCTTGGCATGGAAAAGGAAGAATTGAGCTGCTAGAGGCTGGATGACTGAATGGGGCTCTTGTTCCTGGCAAGATAGTGTTGAGAATTGAGAATAGGGAGGGGTGGAGCTCTGGGGTGAGCACAGGTCACCTAGTCTGGTCAGAAGAACCTATCGAGTTCTGCCTGGGATAGGAAGATGGACCAGAGCCCAGGAATGAGACTGGGTGTCTGCCTACGGATGACTCTAGGTCATAACCGCACAGAATCACCCGGTTCCCAGACTCAAGTGGACACCCAGGTTTTGCAGAGGTAAATGGACTTGTGATAGGCAAATGGATTTGTGATAGGATCAAGATCTGTGATCCACTGGTCAGCATGGTGGCTTCCTCTTCCCTGTGGTGGCTTGTGGAAAACTGGTGCCTGAAGGTAGGGAAGGCTGCAGGCAGACCTTAAAGAGCTGGGGTCTTCTTCCCTGACCTCTCTGGTCTCTGCAGGTCAGCATTACACTGATGACTTTGCCCAGGTGAACCCCTTGAGGAAGGTGCCAGCTTTGAAGGATGGGGACTTCATCTTGGCAGAGAGGTAATGGGTTCCTGGCTTGCAACCAAACTGTGTGAGGCAGGCCACCTGTCTGGGCCCACTGCCAAGCACTGGGACTGTGGCTTCTGTGTCAGCCCCCGGGGTAAATGGTTGGATGAAACTCAAACAGGTACCTGGGGCTGAGATACGGCTTTTGAAGACATGGTGTACCTGCCTCCCTCTGCAATTTATGGATGAGGAAACTGAGACTGGGGTATGGGGGAGGGCAGGCTGCTTCCCAAGCCCTTCCCAGCTAGCCCAGCCCTCGGGATCACCCATTGAACTTAGTTGCCATCCGCTGAGCACCCAGCAGCACCAGATCGCTGTCTATCCTCGGAGCTTGAGCAGAACATAATCTGGGCCCACGGGGAACTCATACTTTGTAGTGAGGAGTGACAATAACGTGACAGGTGGGGAGAGCAGTGGAGAAGAGATAGGGAGTGGGGGTGCGATTTCAAGTGAGAGTTTAAAAGGATAGAGGTGATAAGCAAGCAGGAGCTTCGGGTACTGATGTGCTGGGTGTGTGGGAAGTGTGTTCTTGCTGGAAGGATAAAGGTGAAGGCCATGACATTAGACCGTGCAGCGGTACAGGCTGAAGGGCTGAGGTCAGCACTGCTGGAGTGAAGGAGGCAAGCAGAACAGTGAGGGGGAGGTAGTGAAGACTAGGGAAAGGCTTTGAAAGGGTCCCCAGGCTGGATAAGAAGGCATGTGGAAATTCAGGTACCAAACACTCCCACCCTAGGTCAAGGTGACTTAAGAATGACCAGGGCATGTTCTCCTCCTCTCTGCATCCCTCCAGTGTGGCCATCTTGCTGTATTTGAGTAGAAAGTACAAGGCCCCTGACCACTGGTACCCTCAGGACCTTCAGGCTCGAGCTCGTGTCGATGAGTACCTGTCTTGGCAGCACACAGCCCTCCGGAGTTGTTGCACCAGGGCCATGTGGCAGAAGGTGAGCCATAGGGACCAAGGGCAGTGTCACCTGTCACGATCCTTCAGAGATGGTGCTTCCGGTTAAAAACAAAAGTTCTTGGACCAGAGATATGCCTCAGTGGGTGTAAAGGCAGTTGTTGCCAAGCCTGACAACCAGAGTTCAGTTCCTGGGATCCTCCATATAGCAGAAGGAGAGAACCAAGTCCTGCAAGTTGCCTCCTGACCTCCACAGGCGTGCTGTGGTGAGGGAGGCATGCACGTGAGAGCATGTGTGCACTCACTCAAAATAAATAAATTTTAGATAAAACGTTGTGTTTAAACTTTTAGACTTGGGGATCGTAGAATTCCAGCATGGAGTGGCAGACTTACATGTTGGTGGCCCCCCTGAGTACTGGCTTTAGCCCTCAACAGTGCATCAACCACCACGTCTCCCCACTTGAAGTAAAAGGGGGATCCAGAATGGGGACAGGATGGCAGTTGCTACACTGGAGAGGGCTTTGTGTTGAGGTCTTGGTCCTGAGAGTCAGGGATGGTTTTGTGCAGGGAAAGGGCAAGGAAGGGTCCCAGGAACTGAGATGGGTGGATAAGAGTGGGCCAAAAGACGAGTGCCGGACAGAGCCAACTCTTTCTTTTTGCTGGCCCACCAGATGATGTTCCCTAAGTACCTGGGCCAGCCGGTAGCCCCTGAGACGTTGGCAGCCACTTTGGCTGAACTGGACAGGTGCCTGCAGATGCTGGAGGACAAGTTCCTGCAGAACCAGGCCTTCCTCACGGGATCCCATATCTCCGTGGCTGACTTGGTGGCCGTCACGGAGCTGATGCATGTGAGTGCTGTGACCTGATGGGTGATGGAGAGTCCTGGGAGGGGGAGCCCTGGCTCATGCCGACTCTTCTGCCTGTAGGGCCTTGGATAAGTCACTTCTCCTGCTGAACCGTAGTCGTCTTCATCTATAAAGTGAATTTAAATTTTTTTTTGTTTGTTTGTTTTTTTTTTTTTTGTTTTTGTTTTTCGAGACAGGGTTTCTCTGTGTAGCTTTGGAGCCTATCCTGGCATTCGCTCTGGAGACCAGGCTGGCCTCGAACTCACAGAGATCCGCCTGCCTCTGCCTCCAGAGTGCTGGGATTAAAGGCGTGCACCACCAACGCCCGGATGAATTTTAAAATGCTTTATTAGATTATATTTAATCACACGTAACAACGGTGTTAGGAATAAATCGTCACAGGTTAGGCATACAGTGGAACGGGTTGAGACCGCATGTGGCAGGTCCCCGGTCCCGCAGTGGGTGATGGACGGTGGGTGGATGGGGAAACAGGGACCTGTTGACGTGACTCATATTGAAAGTTTTATTGAGGGGGAGGTAAGAAAATAAGGGAAGGAAAGAGAGAAAGGGTACAGAGACACAGAGACAGAAGAGAAAGGGGAACGGGAAAAGAGAGGAGAGTCAGGGTACAAACACCTGCCGTGGGCAGGCGCGTGAGAGGTGGGGCCAAGTTTGCCTGGATTACAACAAATGGGTTTCGTTTTGACACTTTCATACATGCACATAATGTATTTTAATCATAGTCACCCCTTTGCCATCTCTTGCCCCCCTCCTGCTGATCTGTCACTAGCTTCCATTCTACTTGGTGTGTGTGTGTGTGTGTGTGTGTGTGTGTGTGTGTGTGTGTGTTTGAGTGAGTTTCATCAAGGTTGCTTATAGGAGGGTGGGTGAGGATTTGTTCACAAAAGCATGGGTACCTTACCAGTGGCCACTGAAGAAAACGTCACCCTTTCCCAACAGCCATTACCCTCAGAGAGGGGTGAGACCCTAAGTGTCCTTCGATGCTCCATGACAGGATGCTAATGGACCCAATCATATGTGGATGCTATGCCATTCCATTCCCGGAAGTCAGTGTTCCACGACTCCTGTTCCTTTTCTTTGGGCTCTTACATCCTTTCCACTTCTTCAGCCTTGGGAGAGGGTGACAGAAGATGCCCGATTTATGGCCGACCTTTTGACTGATTCTTAGCATCATCAAGCAAATCCTTTAAGTTCTTTCTGTGGAGGCACTGAGAGGCACCTCACACATGATGGAGGAGGGGCGACGATGCAGTGGGGGAATACGGAAACAGGTTGTGCTGCCTTGTAGATGGCAGAACTTAGCCTCTCTACTTGACTTCTTCTCCCTACAGCCTGTCAGTGCTGGCTGCAAAATCTTCGAGAGCCGACCCAAACTGGCTGCGTGGCGTCAGCGTGTGGAAGCTGTGGTGGGGGAGAAACTCTTCCAGGAGGCCCATGCAGTTGTCCTGAAGGCCAAGGATATGCCTCCCTTGATGGACCCTACCTTGAAGGAGAAACTGAAGCTTTCCCTTCAGTGTCTGTTGCATTGAGGGAGCAGCCCGAGCCTGTGGCGCCATCAAGGGAAACGCTGGGCTGTGCAAGTGACGAGCGGGGGCAGAATGTGTCTTTGGCTGTCACCAGGACATGAAGTCTCTGGTCTACAATTTCCTTTATGCATCACCAGTGCTCCTTCTGTGTCCCCACATCAGATCTTACCTGACCTCTAGAGAGAGCTACAGGAAAACACTTGGAAACTACCAGGCCGTGTTCCCAGTCTCTAAGGTGGCTGCATTCTTCTCAGGCCCCTGCCCTGCTCTCACACTGACCCCCCCCCCCCGCACCACACTTGTGTTCTTTGCCTAGTGCCCTTCCTCTATTTTTGACATTTGTCACCCTGTGACCCCTCTGGGTTCCTCATTCCTAGTGCAGGGTTGAGCACATGTCACAGATAGGGAGTGACTAGTGAAAGGCCTTTGTCCTCTGGGTCTCTCTCCTCCATCTGGGGTGATGTTGCCTGCCATAGACAGGGTACAGGGCTGGTTCACGAAGTCCCTTGCAGGGGTGAAGTTTCTGGCAATGCCCTGACTTTCCAAATTCTGCCAAGCAGTGTTGCTTGCTCCAAGTCTTCTAACCCTGACTGGTATCTTCTGTGTGTCTCCTGCTCCAAATTGTCAAGCTTCTTAATCTTGTGCCATAGGACCTCTGGTATGCCCATTTCCTAATAAATTGCTCACAGAACAACAAGAGTGATGATAGTGTTTCTTAGCCCATTTTGTTTCCTTTAGTGTGCCCTGGCCGTCCTGGAACACTCTCTAGACTAGGCTGGCCTGGAACTCAGAGATCCCCCTGCCTATGCCTCCCTCCTAGGTGCTGGGATTAAAGGAGTAAACCACCCCGGCCCGGCCAGGTTGCCTTGTTAAATGACTCTGCTACCCTCTGGTGGACAATGATTCATTATTCACAAAGGAGGCTACAAAATCAGTTATCTTAGGTGGAGATGCCGTTGCCCTAGGGTCTTGCCCAGGCATACCTCATTCACAGGTGATGCCTGGCTTCAAGATTGTTGAAAAGAAGTGCAGTTCCCATATTGAATTTGAAATAATCACAATCACTCAAGAAACTTTAAGCCAGCCTGGCGGTGTGAAGTCTCCCTACAGAAATGTATGCGTTAGGAGGGTTTAGCTGGGACACTAAGAGGAAAACAGAGCCCCCTGCTGCCTGGGAGGGCCAAAGACCATGAAGCTAGGACTTGGGTAATTTGGAGCCAGCACACGTGACAGCAGAAGAGGCGGGGCCCTGGTAGCCAGTCCAGTAGCGCCGATGCTGCCTGACCAATGAGAAGCTTAGCTGTAACGTCACGCCCCACACCACGCCCCGTGCCCCTTTTCTGGAACCTCTGCGGGCTCCGGCAGCTCTCGGTGCAGTAGCAGCTTTGCGATCCTTCTCGCCCCCTCAAGAAAAAAAAAAAAAATGCCATTCGTTGAGTTGGAAACGAACTTGCCAGCAAGCCGCGTGCCCGCTGGGCTAGAGAAACGGCTGTGTGCGGCCACCGCCTCCATCCTGGACAAGCCCGAAGACGTGAGCTAGGGCCGGGGAGTCCCGGGTGCGCGCAAGTTGTGGGCTAGGGGTCAGACTTCCCAATGACCTTTACTCTTATCCCCAGAGACCCCACCCTCCTGCTAACCTCTGACCTAACGCGTCCCATCCTCCTCCCCAGGTCTCTTCCTGGCGGCCCCTCCCAGGCATGACCCTGAAGTGACTGGCTTCCAGGGTTCCTGCCCAAGTGCCCCAAACCCTCATCTCTCAGACCCCCGCGTTAAGACTTTGGTGCGCCGGTTCCAGGACGCCAGCCCGGCCTGCCTGAGCTTGCGGAATTTAACTTTTATGTTCCCCGCAGCGCGTGAGCGTTACGTTACGACCTGGCATGACCATATTGATGAACGGATCCACAGAGCCCTGTGTCCAGCTTATGATCTCTTCCATCGGTGTTGTGGGCACCGCAGAGCAGAACCGCAACCACAGCTCCCGCTTCTTCGAGTTCCTCACCAAGGAGCTGGCCCTGGACCAGGACCGGTAAGTAGGACTAGTGAGGGAATTTACTTGAGACTGCTAGAGCAGTGACCCTGACCCCGGGCCTGCTGAATGAGGTTGGGGGTGGGAAAGAATACATTATCTTCTGGTTCCAGAAAGCACCCCAGGACCTAGTGCAAGGAGATGCATCTGCTCCTTAGGCACTGGAACGGTGGGTCTGTGATCAGAATGATTGCAAGATTTTGATTCCTTCGAAGATCTGCAGCCATCCCTGTAAGCCCCGAGTAAGGATGGCTCGGGAAACCCCAGTGTTTCCGAGAATGTGCTTAGGTACCCTCAGAACCACTGAGATGATGGCCTCCGTTCTGTCTCTGAACCAGCGTGTCTGGTTTTCAGGGAGAACTTTTCCAGAGGTTATGTCCTCAGGCAAAGACCTTTGGACTAGATAAGGCTCCAGGAGAGCCACCGGGTAGCTAGCTACAAGACCATTGGCCCAGATAGCTAAACTTAATCTGAGGGCTACCACGTCTAAGAGATCCCACCATACATCTTATTTGTAGCCTTCTCTTCCATAAAAGCAGTGGATCAGGCTGAATGACTCCTCCACCTTCAGTGGAGACGACACAGTACTTTTTAACAGTAGCGCTCTCATTCTCGACATGTGCCGGGGTCTCTACACCATTATCCCGTTTGATCCTTACAAGGGCTTTCCAGGGTCTTCGTGTGCAGATTTGGTATCTTCATGAGGTAGATAACTGCCTTAGATGAACTTTACTGATGGGAACCTGAGGGTGTCAGCCATGTGCACAGCCCCCCCCATTCCCCTCACACCCCCGCCAGACTATCACTTTTTTTTTATTCCTTCTCCTTCGCCTTCTTCCTTCTTCCTTCTGATTTATTTATTTATTATGTGTACAGTGTTCGGCCTGCATGTCTGCCTGCAGGTCAGAAGAGGGCACCAAATCTCATTACAAATGGTCGTGAGTCACCATGTGGTTGCTGGGAACTGAACTCAGGACCTTTGGAAAAGCAGGCAGTGCTCTTAACTACTGAGCCATCTCTCCAGCCCACTTTTTTTTTTTTTTAATCTCTGTGGTTGATGGATCGTTTATTCCATAGATTTGAATCAGGGTTGCCCTTCGACTGGCTTTGAGCTGGACTTTGGTTAAAAACTAAATGGTCAGTGCCCTGGGCATGTCCATAGGAGCTTAGAGTTAGTAGGACTGTCCCTCTCAGCCCATATACACCTGGCATATGCAACTGTGCACAAAATACACTGACGTATACTTACCATTGTGTTATGTCTGTCCTGGGCCTATGTACAGCCACCATCTTGCACCTGACCGTCTCAGTGCAAGGATCATTAACTGGGATGGGCAGATTGGTAAAATACTCTATGGGCTGATATGGACTGGCCTGAGATCTTACCTTGGCATGTCTCCAGGGACTTTGGCAGAGTTTGCCAAGGAATTGACTTTTTTTTTTTTTGGTTTTTCGAGACAAGGTTTCTCTGTGTAGCTTTGGAGCCTATCCTGGCACTTGCTCTGGAGACCAGGCTGGCCTCGAACTCACAGAGATCTGCCTGCCTCTGCCTCTGCCTCCCGAGTGCTGGGATTAAAGGCGTGTGCCACCAACTTCCGGCTGACATCTCTTTTTCTGCTTCCTAAAGGATAATCATCCGCTTCATCCCCTTGGAGCCCTGGCAGATTGGAAAGAAAGGAACTGTCATGACGTTTCTGTGATTGAAACCAAGAATCCAGGGCATTTGCTGAGCCTACCCAGGGCCCTTCTAGAGAGGCCTCCTGGCAGAGTTGTGGTCCGGTAGATACCACTGCCAAATACCTCTTTTGCATATATGTCTGTGGCTTCACTGCACACTTTTTTCTTCCCCAGCCTCATGAGTAAATATGAAATCAAATAAACAAAGAGGATATAACCCCAAACATGACTTCTTTGCTTCTGTAATCCCCTCTTTGTCGTTCTGGACACTCTAGAGGGTGTGATTTGTTCATGAGGGCAAAGGATGGGGTGTTTCTGTTCATGGGGCTGCTGTTTTGTGTTTGCTGAAATCTGGGGTTCAGGCTTTGGCCTCAAAGGGCTGCTCTCCACATCCATGTGCAGACCATTGGGGACATGAGAGCAACTGGTCTGACCTGATGTAAAGAGAACCCTTACCTTGGCCTGGGCTATCCCTGTTGACTGATGAACTGGGTCTGGAGAATAAGGCTGGCTGCATTTCAGGGACCATCCCTAGGGCTTCACTGTGTACCTTGATTCTTGTTGATATTGTGCACTTTGCAGAAGCCATGCCAAGTGTGGGAAATGTCGTATCTGCTAGCATGCCAAAGTATGGAGTTGTGATTCCTTCCACTAGAAATGGAACAGCCTCTGTTCCCACTCTCTATCTACATGGCTTTGTGTTTTATACTCTATAGGTGGGATGAGGAGCCCAAAGGAAGTCTCCTCCACCTTTTCCTTTCCATATGTTCTGTGCAGAGCCTACAGCTTATAACCCATAGATACCCCTGCATAGTTAGATGGCTGGTCATCCTCATCTTTAGATACCAGTGGAACATCACATTAAGCTTTTTGTTTTGTAAGCTAATAATCTTAGTTTCCAGTGGTATTTTCCTAGGTCTCCTGTTTGTGAGTGACAATGCTGGGACCTCTTATTAAAAGCTCAACCCTGGAGACCCTTCTATCTCCCTTGTATTTTATTTCCCAGAGTTGGGTGAGGAAGCTACTGATGTGTAGTGCAAGATGAGAGCAGCTGGCTGAGTGATGCTGAACATGGTGCAGCTTATAGGGTTTGCAGAAGCATTGACCATAGATGTGGGAGATAATGGGAGACAAAGTCAGCCTCCAGGTTTGTCGCTGATGGTGACAGTATCCTTTACTGAGACCATACAATACCTCTGGAACAGAGTCCAATTCACAGAGCATATTCTAACAACTATGTGAACGAGATGTTATATTCAGGTGGCACTGACCAGATGTGAGGTGTGAGCCTCTTTAAGAGGAATGAGAGATTCTAGAAACTCCCAGAGGATAGGTAGCAGTGCCCTTATGTCACCTAAAAGGATGATCTTACCCCAGGAGAGTGAGGGGGTCGGTGGCCTTGCAGCTATCTCTGTCTACCCTGGGGAGATGGTGGGAATGGACCCAAGTTATTCTTGTTCTTGGAAGCCTTCCCTGAACTCCTGCCTCCTGCAATTCATGAGGTTTTGTTTCTTTTGTGACATGCTGAGATCAGATGATGGAATGGTCCTGTGCATTGATGTGTGATCCTTGGCAAGTCACCTAACCTTTCAGTCCTCCCTTGCCCTATGAGAGTGAAAATGCTTCCCCAAATGGCTGGAGAATGATCAGGGTACCCTTTCTTCCCACTGCATTTCCCCAGTGTTGACATCATGCCATATCTAAGCCACAGGAACAAGGCAGGCCCCTGACTACTAATACTCCCAGCCCTATATTCCTAAGTCCTTCCGATGTCTGCAGAGTTGCTGTACCAGGTCTGCATGGCACAGGGTGAGCCATGGTGATGGTGGGCACAGGTACATCTACTAGGGAATGTTGCTTTCTGTTAAAAAGAAAAAAAAAAAATTCAGGTCCTAAAAAGCCAGAAACTGTCAAGTCTAACCACCTTGTGTCACAGCCAAAACCAAGGTGCAGAGCCCTGGCAGAGAGCCTCCCAGTGTGCCTTGACCCCTGGTCTCCCAGAAGTTAGTTTGACCCTTATTTTTTACATACTCAGGACTACCTGGAAATACTTTCAAGGGAGTGAAAAAAAAAAATAGAAATCACAGTTGTCTATAGACATTAATCCCCAAACAGTTACTAGGTGGAAAAAAGTCACAATAATAGGCAAAGACATTTCAATAATGTCAGGAAGTGGAAATATTTACAGAGAAAAGACGGCCAATGCAGAGTGCTTCTTGTTTCTTGGAAGAGTATTGTCCCTTTGTTTGGCTGCTTCAAGTCCTCATTGACCAGTCTTCAGAGAAATGGCTTAAGGCTTTGGATAAAATGGCCACAAGAACCTAGTTCCACCCATTCCTTGGCAAAGGAATCTGACCACCAAAGCTGGCAGGGAGAGCTTTCTTTGTACTGATTCAGGGATCGGTGCTCATTTCCCACAGTGTGTGCAAAGTTGTCTGATATTTGAGATGGAGGTAACTTGTTTAAAACCCTGTGGCATTGCTATTATGGTGCAATTGGGGTAATTCTCCTTCAGGGGTATGTTGTATGAACCTTTATCTAAATCAGGACTTAGGAACTGTGACCTGTTCTCAAAGGCACTTGAAAGATGGAGGAGAGCCAACCTAGATGCAGCAAGGGGAAGGGTTCTCAATGCCTCCGGAAGTGTCGTAGAATCATGGACAGCAGGCCCTCCTGAAGCCAGCCAGTGCACCTGTGGGTGTCTGCTCAGGTGGAGACCGAGCCTCGGCATGTTGGCAGCTAAACCAACATGTCTGACTCTGCGAGACAGAGTCAGAGGGTGTCTGACTCTTCGAGAATCAGATGGTTAACTTTCTTCCTTCTTTTGTGTATGGGTGTCTTACTCCATGTAAGTTTGTGTACCATTTGCTTGCCTGGTACCTTCAGAGGCCAGGAGGTGTTGGATTCCCTGGGACAGGACTTAGAGAAGGCTCTGAGCTGTTGTGTGAGTGCTGGGAATTGAACCCTCGTCTTCTGGAAGAACAGCCAATGCTGGTAACCGCTGAGCCATCTCTCTGTTAACCTTTTTATAACTGGGACAAAGGATTGAGAGCGTCTGTGAGCTGGATGCTTTTCCCAATGACGCCTCCTAGCAGAGTCAGTGAGTATCAGTTTCAGGGACCTCTCCAGGCAGAAGTGTTGGTGACCTCACAGTGGTTGCTCCCCATTCCTATGTCAAACAAAGAGAACTCATGTAAACATGATGATTTTTAAACTCATCACTTCCTTCCTTGACATTCTAAGCTGTCATGGACAGTGGATTTGGCTTATGAAAATTGGACTTATTTAATAATGGAAGCGGTATGTTTCCTGTTCTCATGGCTTTGACTCAACTTGGAGGCCACTTCCAAGCTAGTGCAGTTAGTCTTGTCTGGAACTTTCCGAACACCCTGGTATCTTAAGGCTCCTGTACTCTGGTTTGGATGACCTGGGGCATTCAGTCTTCATGGAGTGCTGTGATGGACAGGGAATAGGACTGGCTAGACTTTCAGGACCTTTTGTGATCCCTCTAAGAACATGAACTTCTTCCTTTCCTTCTACTGAGAATTCCCAGTTATGTGCCTTGCAAAATCACATCCCAACATGTCTATCATGGGAATGCAGTACCTGTTACTGAAAACTGAAGGAATACCATTTAAAAAATTTATTTATGCTTCTTTCATAAATTACATCCCCACCACAGTTTCCCCTCCTGCCTCTCCTCCCAGCTCCCCACCCCCACCTTCCTTCTCCTCTGATCCACTTCTCTGTTTCCCTTCAGAAAAGGGCAGGCCTCCCAGGGATATGAACCAAGCATGGCATATCAAGTTGCAATAACACTAGGTACCTCCCCTCATATTAAGGCAGGATGAGGCAACCCAGTAAGAGGAAAAGGGTCCCCAAAGCAGGCAAGAGTCAGACAGCCCCTGCTCCCACTGTTAGGAGTCCCACAAGAAAACCAAGCTACACAAACCACAACACATACACAGGCTCTTTGATTGTCACTTGATGCTGTAGGATTGGCATTCATGCCCCGTTTACATGCCCTATCTTGCCTTTGTTTAGAAGACCAGTGGGAAGGGCTTATAGGATGTCTCCATCTCTGTTGTTTTTCCAGATGTTGCATGGCAATTGACAAGCACGAACTTTGAACTCAGTGCTGTTTTCCTGAACAGACATTAAATGATCTGTATTATTAGTGTGTGCCAATAAAACATCAAATTGAGAATCTTGTTCTGTGGAGTAAACATAGTTGCCAAATAGTCTTCCTGTCCCTGCTGCTTTAATTTGAGCACTACTGAAGCCTTTCCCAAAATGTAGACGTGGAGTTCCTCCTGTTTCACTGTCCAGTTGTTTTTGCACTCAGTTCTTCTGGCCAAGGTACCCTGATTGCTAAAGTAGCTCAAGAGATGTTTGCAGGTTGAATGCTAATATTTACAGACCTGATGTGACTTTTCCTGGGGAGATATTAAAAGATGTCTCTTCGCCCTGAACTAATGACAGAGCAAAGAAAGTTCCTTACAATGAATGTGGGTGGGAGTTTACTTACAGAACGTGAGCGACTCAAACGCAGATGCAACACTGAAAAGCCTACCCAGTGTGGGTGACCACTCAAAAAGCTGCATATCCAGAGCTCGGTGAACAACGTGCAGGCAACTTGACTGACATGAAAGTCTCCTCTTCCTGGCCATTGTTACACCCTCATCTAACTTTTGGAAGGTGTCTCAGTTTGCTTTTCTATTGCTGTGATTAAAAAAAATAACAAAAAACAAAATGGAGATTAAAGAGTTTATTTCACCTTATACGTTACAGTTGTAGTCCATCAAGGAATATGTGGTGGGATCAACCAGTAACCCCAGTAGCCCGGAGACCGAAGAAAGAGGGCTGCCACAAGTTCGAGGGTAGCTCAGACTGTGGTGTGAGACACTATCTTAAGTAAAAGAACAAAACTGGGGGCTAGAGAGATGGTTCAGCGGTTAAGAGCACAGACTACTTACTCTTCCCGAGGTCCCGGGTTTAATTCCCAGCACCCACATGGCAGCTCACAACTGTCTGTAACTCCAGTTCCAGGGGGATCTGACACCTTCATGCCAGTGCACATAAATTAAATGAAAAATAATCTGTTGAGGGCTGGCGAGATGGCTCAGAGGTTAAGAGCACTGGCCGCTCTTCCAGAGGTCCTGAGTTCAATTCCCAGCAACCACGCGGTGGCTCACAACCATCTATAATGAGATCTGGTGTCCTCTTCTGGCCTGCAGGCATACATGCAGACAGAACACTGTGTACATAATAAATAAATAAATAAATAAATAAATAAATAAATAAATAAAAAATATTAAAAATATTCATTAAAAAAATCTGTTGAGTCCTGCAAGAGCTCAGGACTCTTGAACCGTAACAGCAGCGGGCCCCCCCAACTCTGTGATCTGCG